ATCGACTGGGGTACCTCTCGTTAGCATCTGTGATTAACACTTGGGATAGTTCCCTCGTCAGGATCATCTCCTATATACCATTTTGTAGACAAATAATTAAATGGTGAATCTTTTGCAAAAAACAGCTGAATTTTATTCTATGTATTTTATATAGATAACGTCAATTTATAGAGAGGATCAAAACTTAGTATCCACTCTTTATGTACCAATTAATTTTATTTTATGATTTTCTATATCAGCATTTTTTTAACCATTATTGTATATGTTGTATATGACCAAAATGTATCTCTATTTAGTTCAAATAATTTCATCATAAGTTATCTCATTTTTAATTATCTGTACATTTTTTTGTTTCTTCTTGTTCCTATAGAGCGAACATAATATAGAAAATTTAAGTGTACAAATACTTGATCAATGGAAAACATCAAAACAATTTCAACAAAGTAGTCAATTGCAAAACAATAGTCGAGTAGGTAATTTATCTGTTCTCGTGATTATTTGTTTTTTATCTCTTATTCTTAATAATTCATTTTTTTTCCTCTGTATTTAGGTGCTAATAATAGTAATGGTGATGATATAATAAATACGACATTGATTAATGCAATGAATCAAATAGAAACAACAACAAAATCTCAATATCAACAAACAAATAATAATTTGAATACAGATAAACACCGGCATGCTTTAATAGCAAAATATGGAGAAGTTTCTGATGAAGAATTTGAATAATATCCTTTTATTATTAAATAAAAGAAAGAATGTTTTAACTTCTCTTCTTTGGAAAATATTTCAATAAATTCTCTTTAACTTTTTTGTGTGTGTACTGGGGACGAAGCGGAAGTCAGTCAAGAACAGAATAATGGTATGTATCTTATTTATTTTTTCATATGATAAATTTCATATTTTTATTTAAATAGATGGTATTTTTCGCAATACGAATGCTCAGGATATTGAAGATCGAGAAAGAAAAACACGTGAAGTACAACAAGAGGTAAAATTGTCCGAAATAATTAACCCTTTGTTTACCAGCGTCCCGAATTCAGAGCGCTTTTTTTCAAGTTTCTTGATTTCTGAATAACTCATGACTACAAATAGTTATCCAATTCGAAGAGTTTGAATGCATATCTCAACTACATTCTACCTGACATTATGAACCGTACAAA